ACTTTGTATTCCACATTGAAGTTAATTTAGAGGACTCTCAGTTAGATAGCCAGTCTCAGACAAAGGTGAAGTCGGCTACACATGTTCGTTTCAAAAGAAAATTCCTAACAGTTCAGAATCATTTCAGCTTTCTCTGGATGCTCAGTCTCTCTAACCCCAGGGTTATTAAATATTCTTGCATTTAAACAATGGTAACACAGCAATTACCTGAATTAGTTCAATTCTATCATTCTACATTACCATTGTTTTGTACTTAAATTTGAATATGTTTTCCCTTGGACTTAAAATTTTTATACTGTGGAGACATTGACCTACTAGAATGGTTTCCAAAGAAACAAAGACAGTACTGCAATTTCTGGAATTTATGGTCAAGTGTGATTTTTATGAATCTCTTTTAGACTTACTCTTATGTTTAAAACTTTTCCAAACTACATATCTGTTTTTTCATGTAAAAGAAATTCTTCAAAATTAAAATTAATAAAAAGCATTTTTAATCAACTATGAGTCAAGAAAGGTTGATAAATCCATTTATACTATTTACTTTGAATATGCAAAGTTCAAATTTGATGAAGTAATTAACAAACCTGCATAAGAATCTAAAGCAAACTATAATATTACTATTCATTACTGTGACAGACCAATATGTAGACATTGTTTTTCTTCCTTTTTTCAAAAAAAATATTAATGTACTTAAAATTAATAATCTCTTACTATTAAGGGAAAAAAAAATCTTTAAAAGAAAAGAGGGCTGGTCCCGTGGCCGAGTGGTTAAATTCACACGCTCTACTGCGGCGGCCCAGTGTTTCACCGGTTCAAATCCTAGGCGCGGACGTGGCACTGCTCATCAGGCCATGCTGAGGCAGCATCCCACATGCCACAACTAGAAGGACCCACAACTAAAAATACACAACTATGTACCAGGGGGCTTTGGGAGAAAAAGGAAAAAAAAAAATCTTTAATAATCTCTTACTTTTTTTCCTCAGGTTCTACAGTACTTTTTAATTTTTTAGTTTTTTTTACTGGTATGATTATCTGCATAAAATTTAAAAAACCACTACTTGCATTTTTTTCTCACTGTTATTCTTTAACATTAGGGGTTTTGTCCTGTGAGGCTTGTTAAGAAGCAATCTCTGTGGGCCGACCTGGTGGCGCAGCGGTTAAGTTTGCATGTTCAGTTTTGGTGGCCCAGGGTTTGCCAGTTTGGATCCCCGTGAGATGCCTACTCAGCGAGGGGGTGATTTTGATGCTTCTGTCCCCCAGATTTTTGTTTATCACAACACAGGTTAGGGGAAGGAGCTATTGGCTTCTGGCTAAAAGGCCAAGAATGCTGCTCAACATCCTAAAAAGCACAGGACAGCCTCCCCAACAAAGAATTACTTGGTCCAAATATCAACAGTGCGGAGGGAGAGAAACCCTGGTCTAAGGGAAAAGACTGAAGAAGCCAACTAAGGTCTAAAAGGCCCTTTGGGACATCTCTCAGTAATACACATGCCATTAATTTTACATATGCCGAACAGACAAACAAAAAAGTATTCACTTTGGTAAGGAGTGTCAGAATAACAACTGTCAACAATGATTTTACATAGAGTAGTACATACTGATCTATTATGCTGCATTTTCAAACTCTATCAAGAACAACGTATAAGCCATGCTATCTCACTGCTCTCATGAAGACAGTATCACAGAGTATCATAAATCTAATAAATATTTATGGACAAGATGAATCAAAGGATTCATGTTTACTTTATGAGTATCTCTAGTCTGACTGAACGGGGCTTCACAAGTTGACCTGGTATATGAACCAAAGTTTAAACTACTGACAGATATTAACCAGCCCATCTTCCCTGATGGCATATTTTCAGGCGCCAATGAATTTTATAAGCTAGTTCTATTTTCATTTCACTACTCTTATTGCTAGCACCTAAAATGCAACTTTGTATTAACGGGTAGTTTTCAAGACACATGTCAAATAACTGGGGAATGTGCATTGTAGGATATCAATCGCGGGAAATGCGATTTGAATGAATGACGTTTATCATAATTTACTTCCCACAGAATTCCACAAATTGTCTTGACATAAAAGAATTAACGATTAATGGTAATAGTCTATTTTATTCTATTACTACTCCCATCTTTCTTTGTTCTGAGAGCCATTCAAATATGTAGCCAACAGTAAAACCAAGGGGAAGGATTAACACTGGATTGTAAAATGCAGCTAGAGGTCAATTTCACTTTGTACATACTTGCGAGATGAGAAATTAAACTTCATCTCTATGTCTTTTTATGCAGTCTGAAAACTCATCAAAGTTTCGGCAAAAGCTAGATATGGTCAATAAGAAAAAAGTCCTCAAAGATTCATATTTGAAATGTTCTGCTAACTAGGGGAAGCACTAAAAAAGACATAACGACAAAGTTTATTGCCCTGGAAGAATATAAAGAATTTCTACTTTTCTCTGAGCTCTAAAAAAGGGATCTTTGTATATAACTTTCAGCTGGTTCACTTTATTAAATTATCTTGGGAAAAGAAAATAATCAGGGTAGCTGCTTATGCATGTAGGTTTCATAGACTCCGTGCCAATTCTTAGCGAAACACAACATTTCAGTATATTCTAAAATACTAATTTTTAATGTGTATGCCATGAAAAAATAGTTTAGTAATATTCTCTGACATAGTGTCTATAAGAAATATATTTAAGACTAAAACATTCTAAGGGCTTTAGTATTTCTTGAGGCCACCACGGAAGAGTTCATTTAATTTAGAAAATTACGAATGGGCAGGGTTCTCAAGTGCTTCACCAACTCTAACAGACCACAGCAGGTCTCTTAGGCACAGGGTGACTGCCAGCGACTTAAACAAAAGCCTGAGCTGGCAAGGCAAAAATGCTGGCTTACATTTGGAGAGTGCTATACAATTTACAAAGCCATTGCACATAAATTATATAAAACTATTTAACAGGTAAGAAGAACGTCAATCTATCAGGCAAGCAGAACAGGTACTGACTTTGCAGACGAGGAGCTTGAAGCTCAAGAACTTGTCCAAGGGCACACAGCTAGCAAATAAAGGGACCCACCAGAAAGAGAAGATACCAGGTATTTTCTTTTTACCTAACCTGGTCATTTTCCTACTTATATATGGTTAATACACCAAATGTGAAAAAAGTTCCAAGTAACAAGAGGAATTATTCCAATTATAATTTAATTTTAGGTTAGTTCTGCTCAAGAATGACAAGAATTGCCATTTATCAGAATCGTTAACTGCTCTGACAATGTCTTAGAAAAAAGACCAATAATGTGAGAGCATATTCTCATGAACCTGCTTAAATCACACAGCAACGTGTTTCTTAGAAAGGCAACATGCGGCACGGAACGCCTCTTCAATTTTTATTTTGAAAGCCAAGAGAATTGCATATGTTACAGCAAATGTTCTATCAAACAGTCTTTCTGCTTCTCAAAAACAGAAATGCTCCTGGTGCCTTCAACAACAAATTGTTTAATGCAGCATTCAAGAACATCCACAATCATCTCCAGACATACCCATTCAGACACGCTACACACCAGGCTCCATAAGACTATTAACTTCTCACGCCTTTTGCCTTTGCTTACACTGTATCCCTCAGCCTACAATATCTTTCTTCCCGTTTTCTGTCAGTTGAATTCCTCCTCACTAATCAAGGTTGGGCTTGAATGCCACCATCTTCCTAAGAAATGGCTCCTTTTACCACGCTCCTACAAAGCTCTTTGTATCTTGACCACTGCTCGCTCTTTATCCTACATTACTTAGTGTTAGTGGCTTGGGCCTCCTCTTCCAGACTTTTAGTTCCTGAGTGAACAAATTGCCTCAAACTTAATAAACTAAACTCTTTCATCCCAGTGGCACCCAGCGAAGTAGAGAACTAAAGAGGTATCTGCCGTCCAGCTGGTACAGCTCATTTGCGCGCCCGTGCCTGCCTTTACAGTGCTCTCCGGACACCGTGCGAGCACTACACCCTGACACAGATTTTCCAGATTTTCCTGCCCATGGCTTTGCCGTGCCATTTTATCAACCTGCTTGGCAACAGCCCTGCTCCCTGACCTGGCCTGCTGGGATCCTGCTCCTTGTGGGCGGCCTTCCCACCTGGCTTAAATATCTAGTCCTTTCAGTAAGGCTTGATTCATCAAATTGTTGGATTTTTAAACTTTGTATCAACCTTTAGAGTTGAGCAGAGGGTGCAGAAACTTTAACTCTAGCAAGGTTCACTCCGGTATATTTTCATACCGTGCAGATCTGAATTATTATTGTGGATTAACCACCACACATTCCAGAGAAATGGAGATAGTAACATTTGTTGATATACACACATGCAAAAAGGCATTATTTTCAGGGTGACTTAGCATTTTCAACATTTCTTAATAAGTCTATTATTTTAGAGCAATAAATAAGCTATAAAAGTACTTTATGAAAATTTTAAGTGAAAACACCAAATTATCACAGGAACTTAAATTCTTGTGCTGTTTTTCCACATCTGAATTTAGTTAAGATATAATTCAAATAAGCAAAGCACTACCCAGCAAGTGATTCACACACTCTTATGACTATTCATTAAATAATCATCCACAGGCATGAATGCTTCCTTCTCTAGAAGAAATATACATAACACACTCAACGCTTCAGGCTCAAAGGAAAGATTTATATTTCCAATCGGGTGGGTATTTTTTGTTCCATGTAAAAATCCTATTCTCTCTCCTCCCTGAGACAAACACCACTTTCAGGGAAAAGACGGAAATGTTGAAAAGGAAAAAAAAGAGATCTGCAATTTGAATTATAAAAATATGGATGGTATAATCATGTGCCCAGACCTCAACACATCTTCAATAAATTAGCCATTTTAAATCTTTTTAAATCACTGCTATAAAAGAAAACAAATTCAGAGAATTTTTTGATCAAAAGCAACTGCTAATAACATGATGATAATAAAAGCCCTGGACTTACAGGCCCCATTATCCAAATGATCTACTTTTACCTTTTTTCGTTCCTGCTCCCTCTGTTGGAGTCTACAGACTGAGTCAGTAGCTGCGTGCACTGAAATAAAACAGACAATGGGGTTTCAATCAGCAGCCTTCCCTCAAGGAGAGACTTACCTGGAAAAAATAAAATACTTGGATTGTTTTAGATCTCAAAAAACCGCAAAAAAACTGGTATTATTTTGGTCATGGTAGGGTGGCTGGAAGGGAAAAAAAGAAGTTCTGCCAACATATTCAGGATGTCATAATTAGAACCATTACAATTCTTGAGCTTTGAGCTGCAAGCCAAGGACATTTAAGTACTAATTTCAATAAGTTGTCAACAGTGACCTCAGAATTCTCTAAAAAGATAAAATGCCTGATAAATTTATCATTACATTCTGATTGATTACGCCCTCACAGTGTCTCTCTGATTCATTAACCTCCCACTCCTTTTTTCTCCTTCATACCACTACTCTCTTGTGGGCAGTAACTGCTATCTAGAACGCTTCAACAACTTTTTCCCTATTCTTCTTGCTTCTGCTCTCCTGTCTTCCAATTTGTCCTGGCTGCCACTGCCAGGTTGAAGTTTCTCTGGACTGGTTTCATTGAGCTATTTCCCTTTCTAATGAATCAAAACTGCTAGTAATAATTACTATAGTTATTTATTGAGGATAATTATGTGCCAAGACCTGTGCTAAGTACTTTCCATGTGTTCTTCCTCTTAATCCCACTTTCCTATTTAGGAGAGGATCACTATCCCATTTTACAGATTTTTGGCATCTGCAAAAAATTGAGGCATAAAGAAGTGAAGTGTCACTCAAGGAGGTAATACGACCAATAAATACAGAAAGCAGGATTTAAAATCAGATCTCCGACTCTAAAGATTTGGCTCTTACCCTCAGCACTCTACTCTCTTACAATTTCATCAGTGAAACTGGTTTTAATCCATCAGTTACTCAAACTTCTTCCTTTACCGGATCCATTTTATTTCTGTACACAAATGTTTTCACTCACTTCTCTGTTCAGTGTGCAGGCTGAGTCAGCCCTAGTCAACCAACTCTAGAGCTGAACACTTAATGGGCTGGGTAACTGATCCTGGGCGTGTCTGCTTGCTCACTCACTCACCCATTCATCATATATTTACTGAGCATTTGCTATGTGCCCGGGGCTGTTACTATTGCTGCTCTGAATCTCTCAGCACCGCAGTATACAAGGACTTCAGAAGTGACATGAGAACTAAATGAGATAACACAATAGATATAATGCTTAAAAATAACTTTAATATTAATAATAAAAGCCACTTAGAGCAGTTCTTCACACACAGTGAGACGTCAAGAAATGTGAGTTACTGCTATTCTATTTATTGTACTATCCTTACTGCAGGTGCTTTCCTTACTCCTTTCCTCTAATGAAAATGTTTTACTTGTTTTAAAAGCCCACTTCAAGGTTTACTGGCTTCATAAAGTCCTCCCAGATTAATCCTTTCCCTATAAGGATTTTCTCACTTTCGAAATCCCTTCATGAGGAACGTGTGCATCCTACTACATCATCTTGAGTTTGCTGAAACGGAGGTTCCCCCAGATGCTGTACAATATGCCTTCCTCTCCCGCCCCAACCTGGCCCCAGCGAGGGCACAGTTCCGTGACAGGGCAGGGACTGTGACTCTCTTTCAGAAAAATGTTAGGCCTCTCCCTGTGAGAACATGGTAAAGAGCAGGTTTCTGCTTGTAAAAAGTCATGTTTTTATCAGTAACCATTCATTTTAGTTATATCAAAGATAATATTTTAGTACTAAAAATTAGGTTCCCAATCATTGTTTGTTTTAACATAAAAGATGAAAACAAAACAGGAGCTGATTAGATCTGCCTTCTTTCTGCGGCATATTAATATTACATCATCTTTCCTGAGTAGTGGTTCTTTCATTTCCTGCTTGGGTTTTTTTTTCTTTTTTCCTTCTGGCTCTGAACATAACTTAAAAACAATCCATTTTCTGGTCTTTGGGTGCTTCATCATTTTCAGATCATTCTGTGATCATTTCAGATCTTAATCTAAAAGAAGAGTTACAGGACTATGACATTTATTTCATCATTTGTTATATCCTTTAAAAATTTAACTAGAACACATCTGACAAAGGCACACTTTTGTTCCTTATCAGGATTGTCTTTCTGCTTTGACAGAATAACCATTTTTAGAAATTTCACTCCCTTTGAAGTAATTTACTTTTTAATTCTTTAGCCACACAATAACAAAGGTCTGCTTTCTGAATCTAATGAAATCTGCTTTTCTAAAATCTAAGAAAATCACTTGACTACACCAATCATTCCCTTCCTTCATGAGGAGAGCCTCCAAGAGGAGAGGACCCACCATCCCCGCTTCCTCTCACGTTCACATCACATCACACCTAATTCAACAGGAATTACAGCTGTCTCAGTGTTTTAGGAGACTACGTTGACTTTAAACAGCCAAAAATTTATCAAATTATTTTCTCTCAACCAAAAGATTGTTTGAGGAGATTAGCAGCATACAGTAACTGTGCCACATACAACAGTTAACAATGTCTTGACTGTCCTCGCATAAAAGGGAAGCAAATCCATTTGGTCACGGTACATATATATAAATCTCAAACACATACATAAGAAAATAATCTTGGTTTGGAATTAGAAGCAAATGTTGGCTAATCATCGTTCACTCATTTCGAGGAATAAATAATTACTTAGTGGCTACGATGTGCCAGGCACTGTTCTAGATGCCAAGGATACTGCAGAGAACAATCAGAGTCCCTGAGCTCATGGAACTCATATTTTAGTTGGGAAAAGAAACAACATAGAGATACTTAGCATGTCTAGGTGGTGATGGACACTATGGAGAAAAACAAGGTCAGGTAAGAGAGGCCGGAGAATGCCAGAATGAGAGAGGACGAATGTTACAGAGTGGCCAAGGCAGGTCTCACTGTTGACATTTGAGCAGAGACCTATAGGAAATGAGAATGCACAGAAATCTGAGAAAAGAGTATTCCAGCGGGAGCAGCAAGTGCAAAGGCCCTGAGGCAGGAATGTACTTGGCACACAGGAGGAAGAATAAGGAGGCCAGTGTAGCTAGAACAAAGTGAAAGAAAAGGAAAATGGTAGGAAATAAAAATCAGAGTGGGAGCCATCATGTAGAAACTTTCAGGCCACTTGAGGATTTTGACTTTTTACTCTAAGCAAGATGAGGAGATTCTGATATAGTAATGACAAGCACCAAGTTACACTTTAAAAGGATCATTCAGGTTCCAACATGGAGAACACAGTACAGGAAGGAAAGAGAGAAGTTTAAAGATACGTTATGGGGCTACTAGAACAATCCAGGTGAGAGATGATAGTGGCTTAGAAGTGAAGTGGTAAGGGTGATCAGATTCTGGTTATATTCTCAAAGTTGAGCCCAAAGGATTTGCTAATAAAATACATGTGAGAGAAGGAAGAGAGAATGAGAAAGGGAAGGGAAGGATGGGGAGAGGAGGGAAGAGTAAAAGAAGGAAGGAGGGAGGTAGAGGAGATGGAGAGAGAGCATTCCAGAGAAAGACAGATGCTGAGGGAGAGAGAGACAGGAGTTCAGGCTTTTCAGCCTGAGCGGTTAGGTGAATGCTGACGCCATTACTGAACAGGGACAGAATGAGATAAAAGCAGAACTGAAGAAAGAACCCAAGCTTGGTTCTGGTCATGTTACACTGAGATGCTTATTAGACATCTAAGTGGACTAGGCTGTTGGATGTAAAAATCTGGAATTCCAGGGAGAGGTCCAAGGTGAAAACATAAACGCAGAATAAGGACTGGCATACAGATGATGTTTAAAGCTGTGATTCTGTATGAAATCACTGAGCAAGTGAGTATAGACAGAAAAGATATCCCAGAGTCAAGCCTTAGGGCACCCCAATGTTAAAAGCCAAGGAGAGAAGTGGAAACTAACAAAGGAGACGGAGAAGGAGGAGCCGAAGTCGTGGGAGAAAATCCAGGAGAAAGTGATGGCCCAAAAGGAAAGGCCAACTTTCCTTATTACCTTTTTAAAGATGCACAGAAACAACATCCTGAAGTTGAAAGAACTTGAGCTTTGGAGTCAGAAGAACTGGGTTTGCACGATAGTTCCTCCAATTATTACTGGAGAACCATGGATGCCAAACCACTATGAATTTCAGTTTCCTCAACTATAAACTGGAGAGGAGAATAAGCAATTATTTTGTAGTTATGACAGTCAATGAAGAAAACACAGATTAAAATTCTAACTACTGAAGTGCTATAAAAAATTAGTATTTTAAATCATAATGAGTTCTTAAAGATTTCTAGGTAAAGAGACAGAATGAAGCAAAATCAGACAAACTTAGTTCCCTAAATGTCTCACAAAATAAATAAGTTTTAAAAAAGGTAAAAAAATTCAATCATTTACTGAACAAGTAAGAACTGTAATTGTAAACTATAAACTGTGAAAAGTGGTGACTAAGAATACGAGCATAAGAACTGAGACTCCTAACTTCACCGTAACTACTCCACCCCCAACAGTCAGAAAAAGAAAATGAGTTGACAAAATTCTTAGAACTCTAACCTGCTTTAATTTGTAGAGAAACAGATTTGGGGAGAAAGGAACAAAGTATGTGAAAGACATGTAAGACAGCAAAGCTCCATAATAAAATTCTCCATAGGTACTTTTAATACAAAATAACTGTATGAACTAAAAGACGTCAAACAAACAGCATGAAATGAAAAATGAGATCGCAGAGCTAAGGAAACAAACTGAGAACTCTAACATCATTACAGATCTAATAAATAAATCAGAAACAAAGGAATCGAATAGTCTAAAACTAAATTAACAATTGGCAGCATTATACCTGCAGGATAGAAAGCAAATACTCTGCAAACCCTGACAAAGTTAAAACTCCCAAGTGAGAGGGTGGGGAAGAGACACAGAAGGAAGGTATAGGAGTCCTAACCGCTCATCTCACAGGGCACTGATTAACGCAGAAACAATAACAATGGGGCTCTAACTGCAGGATGTTTTTTATAATTATTTTTCTTTGAATGATGTTTTAGTAACAACTATCTTTTATAGTAAAAAACACTTATTTTAAGTATTCACTTAAGTTTTTGTTCTGTTAAATTCAAATAAAATTTAAAATTAATACCTCAACTTAAAATTGTATGATCTTATCCTTATCACATGTTCTTTCTCTCCCTCAGACCTTTCCGTCTACTCATTCAGCTATCATCCATTCATCCTTCCATTCATCCTTCTGTTTGGATATACACAAAGGTCTCTGAAATGATGTTCACCAAAGTTAAAAAGCAATGGCTTTCTTTAGGTTGTGATTAAAGTGATTTATTCCTTTCTTTTTCTTTCTTATTTTCTTCTTCATTTCCTTTTTCTTCTTACTTAAACATATGTCCTTTGTTTAAATAATAAAAAAAATAAAGTAATTGCTCTTAAAAGAGCATAAACACTCGTTTGCATGATTTTGCACAACCCCCTGTTCAGTTAGTAGTAGAAATAAACAAGCCAGCACTATGACTTAAAATGTCAAGTTTTTAAACTGAAATTCCCCGGGAACCACAGCCGGGCCCAGGTGAATTCTTAAAACTACATGAGCTTTACAAAAGCAGACAATTATCTCCATTATAGCTGTGACGTTCATGATAATAGCTACAAAAAAATACTGATGTTGGAGCCTACTGAGGAAGTCTTTCTTGCTCGAGCAGGAAAACCCCTCCAAAAGTCATTGCTGGGTTTCTAAAGCTAACAATGAGACTCCAAGTAGTCCACAGATGTTAAAACCTTAGTTAACTTCAAGTTTTATGTGTTTTAATCCTTGCTTTCAGGAAAATATGTTTCCGGGCGGGATTTCACATTACTAGCAATACTTCTCTATTTCATTGTGAAGTGTCTACTTTTCAGAGGCTAGTCCTCACGTCAGAAATAACTTCAGCCCAAGAATGAAACAAGTCAAAATAACCATTCATAGATTTTTACCAAGCTTTGCCCAATTTATTTTTACATACTCAAAGTGTAGAAAAGGAAAGTTACAGGCACATCTCAAATGTATACATATTCTTATTAATAATAACCTGAGTTTTAGTTTTAGCATAATATCTAGAATGTTTGTCGAGGTTAAGGAAGTGACAGTATGAACAAACGGGACACATCTGCAGTAAAATGCAAAGGCCTCAAGTCAATTTTAGGCTTTTTGCCATCCCCCTAAAGAAAGCGAATGTGATCCTGGGGGATATGCGTGCCAGCCTCCTTTGAGCATCAGCCCACAAAAGACTAAGTGGGACAGACCCACAAAGACGGGCTCACCAAAGCCTGTCCCCTGCTCCCCTTCACAGGCCATATGTTACTGTCGAGTTTTATTTTTTTCCCCCAGAAAGCTGTTTTTTCATTTTGCACTTCAGTAATCTATCATTATTTATCAGCATCATCCTTGGACAAGCTGAAAGTGTCAATACAGATCCAAGGAGAAGCCATGAGTTTCTGACATATTTCTGATTTTAAAATTAGGTACTAATAAAACTTTTATGTTATGTTATGATTTGATGTGTTTCATAAACATTCTTTTTGATCAACTCTCTCTTCACATTACAATATTCTGCTTAATGAAAAAAGTGGTAAGATACAAACATTTATGACAGGATTTTTTTTTAAAAAAGTTAACTCTAGTATCCTGTTTGAAAAAGAAGGTCATCAAACTTTTTTTATGGATAAGTTTTTAAAGGTCAAAACTGCTGTGATTTTCTCACATTCTAAAAGGACCACCTCCATGCACCCCAGAAGCACACGTCTCGCTTTGGAGATTAATGCTCTTAACACCAACGGCAACACTCATTCATCACTAGAAAACCACTTTCTCTGTGACAGGGCTTCCCTCTTACATGCTCTGTTTAGACTTCTCTCTCTCCACATCCCACCAAAATACTCAAGGAAACACATTTTGGCACAGCATTCATTGGAAATAAAGCAGTATTAAAAAGTCAATGGCTTACATCTCTGGAGAACTTGGTCTAAGTTGTCCTGCATCGTTTCTCTACATTTAGGAATTGCATGTTCATTTGTTTCACGGATCATATTCTTCAAATTTTCAAGAACTCGCATTTCTCGAAGTCCACGTTTTTCCTATTAAAAGAAAATAAGTGACTAGTACATAGCGTGTCTTAAATCTTGGTAATTACTTTCTGGGATTTCCACCCAGATTTGGTTATGCTATTACTCATTACTGAAATTTACAGAGCCTTCTTCTAATTATTTGGCAATAAATGAGGTCACAACCTCGAGGCATTTTTTTATTATGAAATGTTTTAAAAGTTGCAGTGAGTAATATTTTTATAGCAATGTTTAAAAATGGCATGAGATACAGTAAAAGAACAAGAAAGAGGCCTAGATTGCTACATATTTCCTTCAGTGAGGGCAGAGAAAGAAATTAGATACCTTTGATTTGATTTTAATTTCATTATTTTCATTCTTACCATATAGCTTCTATTATTATACTATTTTTTATCTGATTCCATTTTTCTCAAATAAAAATGTGAGCTCAAGCATCCATTAGATACTTCCCTGTGCAGCCAAGAGTCAACGTTGAAGGCCTGAGGCTACTATCCTTAGGAAGGCTGCTTGTAAGGCTGGCCTTCGCCTGCGGGCTGAGAACCTGACCAGTAAACACTTCCTTACACGGGTACAGTCATGCATCACTTAAGGACAGGGACATGTTCTGAGAAATGTGTCATTAGGCGATTTTGTTGTGCAAACATCAGAGTGTACGGATACGAACCCAGATGGTATTGCCTACTCCACCTCCAGGCTATATTGTACTAATCTATGGGACCACTATCATATATGTGGTCCATCGTCAACAAAAACATTATGTGGTGCATGACTGTATAAAACTTTCTGTAAATGATAAGACACCTCTTTCCATCTGGGAGTCTGGAATTTTGATACATGCTAGGCAGAGACTGCCTACTTGACCAGTCCCCAGTAAAAAGCTTGGACTCCTAGGCTCAGGCAAACTTCCCTAGTAGATGACATTTCACACACGTTGTCACAACTCACTGCTGGGGAATGCACTGCATCCTGTGTGACTCCATCGGAAGAAGATGCTTGGAAGCTTCTACCTGGTTTTGTCCAGGTTTCTCCCCATGCACTTGTCCCCTTGATGATTTTGCTGTGTACTCTTTCACCATAATAAAACTTAGTCACTAGTACAACTATATGCTGAGTCCTTGAGTTTTTCTAGTGAAGCACTGAAGCTGGAGGTGGTCTTAACACCTCACCCTGCCCCCCCTGAGGCTGAGCTAGACTTAGGGACTTGCTTCCAAAGAAAAGAGGAAGGAAAGGGAAAAATATTAACCTCACAGTAGACACAATGAAGGTTGACATCATCAGCGATGTCATGGTGATAGCACCCCCTGATGTAATGTGACAAGAAGAGCACTTTACCTCTGTGGTACTCTTCCCAAAAACTCATAACCCCAATCTAATCTTAAGAAAAACATCAGACAAACCCAGATTGGGGGACATTCTACAGGCTACCAGCCAGAACTCAAGACTGTCAAGATCATGAAAAACAAGGAAAGACTGAGAAACTGTCACAGACCAAAGAGAGACATAACAATTAACTGCAATGTGGTACCCTGGATTAGATCCCAGAACAGAAAGAGGACTGTAATGGAAAAACTGGTGAAATCCAAATAAAGTCAGGTGTTTTATTAATAGTAATGTACTAATGTCAGCTTCTTAGTTTTTACCAATGTAGTATGGTAATATAAGACATTAATAATGGGAGAAATTGGGTGAGGGGTATATGAGAACTCTCCACACTATCTTAGCAACTTCACTGTAAATCTAAAATTAATACAAAACAAAAAGTTTATTAAAAAAAGAAGAGTGGTAAACTTGATTCCAAGAAAATAATATTAATTATGTTACTGGGGTCTTTGTTCTGTTTTGAGCCATCCTAATGGAAGAGCTGTGGCCAGATTTTTATTCTTTCTAATTTTTCCATAATAAAAGATTTAAAACTCATATGAAAAAGTTGACAGAGAATAAAATAATGAATCCTCATGTACTCATAACGAAGCTTCAACAATGCTCAACTCATGGCTGATTTTGTTCCCTCTGGAACAATATGCCCCTGCCCACAATCCTAGACTCTCTTGAAGCAAATCCCAGGGAGTATATCATTTCCACTGTAAGTATTTCAACATCTATCTTTAAAAGACAGACTCCTCTTAAAGAAAAGATACAATAAGACCACCTCTCTTCTCTCTCCTGTCTCTCACGTACACACTCAACAACAGCTCTTTAATATCATTAAATATCAAGGTAGGATTTGCATTCCCTCAAATGTTATAAATGGTTTTTATCTCCCAGTTTATTTAAAATAAAATCTAAATAAGATTCAGACATTGCAATTGGTTAATATGTTTCTTAAATCTTTTCTAATCTATAGATTTCCCCTCCATCACTTTTTTTCCTTTGCTTAACATATTCCTTTGTCTCTTCTCTTTCCTGTAAATTAGCAGTTAGAACTAGAGGCTTGATCAGATTCAAGGTTTGTTTTGTTTTGTGTCTTTAAGAATATTTCAGAGGTGGGCTGCATACTTTCAATAGGCTGTTGGTAGCATTCCGTCTTCATTTATTAGCAGGAATCCCTACTTCTATAAAGAGAAATTTGCCCTCATCAACTATTTGGTTACTCTGAGGAATGCTCATATATGAAAGTCAAAATAAAATTATTATTTCTCCTTATTCACCAGTTTTAAAAATAATGATGTGGTTCTCTAGTATTCTCTAAAGGTTTTTGTTTGTTTTTATATATTCCTATGACTCATAGATTTAAAAATATTTGAAGCTTTTCAATCTGTTACAGTATTTCTCCTTATTGGTGCTTAAAGTGTCCTATCTTTGTCTAGTAGGAGCCCGTTCAGGTTGACTCTGGAACACATTAGACAAAGCCCTAGTGTTCCTTAATAGTTTCTTTGCTTTCTGACATGGCCTGATGCTCCAGGCTAATCTTGTACATTTCCTGACCCAGACTTGGAATCAGCAGGTCTCTAAATACCACTGGTATTCAGAAATGGCGTTTAGAGACTGGGTACTAGGGGTGCTCACTGCTCCTGGGTCAGTCATTAGTTCTAGACCTTTCAGTGGACAAGGAGAGGAAATAGGTTTTTTTTTAAAAGAAAAGATACATTTTAAGTTCATACTCATAGTCAAACAAATTCAGGATGATAGGGTTTTTAATGACCCTCTCTGTCTTATCTGTTTCTTTCCATTTCTCAAAACACCATATAATGACTCACTTGCTTCATCACTAATTCAGTCAAGTAACAATACTAATACTAGCATCAGCAAAATGATTATTGAAAACACTTGAGGGTTTTTTTTTAAACTCTTTGTTCTAAAGGGACATTTCACTAGGAATGTACAAATTACTGCTTTAAAATTACTTAGAACAATTTCTCGGGGCCGGCCCGGTGGCATAGTGGTTAAGTTAGCAGGCTCCACTTTGGCAGCCTGGGGTTTGCTGGTTCAGATCATGAGCGAGGACTTACACACAGCTCATCAAGCTATGCTGAGGCAGCGTGCCGCATGAGAAGAACTAGAAGGACATACAAGTAGGACATACAACTAGGTACTGGGGCTTCGGGGAGAAAAAAAAAGAGGAAGATTGGCAAGAGATGTTACCTCAGGCCCAATCTTCCTCACCAAAAAAAGAAAGAAAGAAAACAATTTCTCTCTGCATTGGCAATGCCACCATCTGGAAACATAGGTTTGCTTTTCTACATTTTGCTTGATTTTTAGAGATTGCTTCTTAAAATTTAATTTTCTTTTAAATTATCTAAAATATTTACACAGCTCCAAAACTACATCTCTAAAAAAACATATATTCAAAAAAGTCTAGCTTCTATCCCTATCTTTTGTACCCTATTCCTTCTATCACTCTCTTTAGGTAATTATTTTAAGATTTTTATCCTGCCATTGTTTTCAGTATAAGGATATACATCCTCATTTACTCGTGTATGTATACACACATGCATACGTGTAAGTGTGTAGATACATATTTTTTCAATTCCTTCCTTCTTAAACAGAAACATGATATAAAGACTTTTCTTATTTCACTTTCTAAGTCAAAATCATAAGCGCACACACTCTATGTATGTAATCTTTCTCTCTACGGTCATGTGGTCTATCTGTTCTCTTTTTGGTGTATCTCTCAGCATTTAGAAAAGTGGGCGTTTTTGCTCTCATGGTTATGTTTATACTAACAATTTATATAATACCCTTGGTCTCCACTTTTTGGCTATTGTCTACTGGTCCCCTACAATAAGCAATATTAATATTAGGCGGTCATCTCTTCTTTCTTTAGCTTTTTCCCCTCCCTCAGAATCCAATGTGAATTGACTCCTAGTTAATATTTATAAGGCAACAAGTGAGGATATTCTACGTTTCATATAACCTCTTCGCTCCTTCCATTTTCTGATAGACTGTATCTACATTGTCAGAACACAGAGCCACAGCATGTTATACTGTCTCCCTTATAACCACCATTTGGTCTTGGTTCTGTAAGCAAATGCATATTTAGTGGTTACTAACTGTTGTTAGGTAGAAGTCTCGCCAATCACTTTGGTTGTCTGAAACTCATTCTGTTGATTATATAATAATGCCTTAGGAAAGGCTCAGGTGAACAATATTCCCTGAGTCCTTGCATGACCCTAACAATGGATTCTGAGGGGAAGAGTCTTGCTGTGGTCAGTCAATTCAGGAGAAAATGACAAGGGGGGCAGTTCCCCTTTTTGTACTTGTTCAGGCTTGAGGGTAAGCAGAGTTCTGGGGCCTGGAGGAAAGAGATAAGCCTGACTAAAGTTTGGTCAAGACAAAGAAGAGGGTAAGAAATGGGAAAATGTGAACACTTGATCACTGATTATTCTTTGCAACTGTGCTGCCTCTCCTTCTGTATTTTTGCTTCTACATAAACATTATAGCTAGTTTACTAAGTTCCATGAAAAATATCTTGGAACTTTGATTGTGATTGCATTGATTGTGTAGATTAATTTGGAGGTAATGGCTTCCTTAAAATATTAAGATTTCCCCACCACACCAGTATAACTCTCTCT